CCCCGCTCGACAGCACAATTTTGGGGAAAAACCGAAAAACCAGAAGTTTTTGTGGAAAAACCTGAAAAGTGGTAGGAAGTTGGGCAAATCTAGGAAAGTGGTAGGCGGCATGGGGCGGGAGGGATCGTATTCGAGGATGGAAAAATGGGGTCGTATTTCTCAGGAAGTGATCGCAACGCGATTGCATGCCCTGCGCAGAAGTATCTGGTTCTTATGGTTATTTCTAAAAATATCCCCTTTGCTTCACGATGAGTAACGAAGGCGCTACAACCCTCAAAAGTGGCACTTCTGACGCCTCTCTCGTTGCCCCACTCGCCGATACACAAAGGCTATTGTCTGTCACGAGTTCTGAGGCAGCAGAATATCGTTTTGCTGACATAAAATGAATAGCTGAATAGCTCGTGGGGTATTTTCCATAGTTTTTATTTGCCTTTTCAGCAACTTAGTACGTCCACAATTTGCAGTTGTGAGGTATGTCCGTAATCATGCACGCGGTATGGGGAGCAACCAAGTCTTCACCCTCTGGGACCCGGGGTGGGAGTGGCCAGTTATTAGAAGCCAAACTTGTCTGAAAGAAAAAAAGCTCGACTGAACTCGTGGTCGACTGCCCCCACTACCACATCCGCCCTAGATCGTAGGTTCCACTAGTGTAATCCGTTTATCTAATTCTGCCCTCTAGTCCATTATTCCCATATCCTGGAGACATTGGAGCCAACCAAGCCCCAGTAAGGCTAATGCGCAACCCATTAATTTCATGATGCTGTTTATGTGGCGCAATCCACAACGATTGCTCGAAGCCGAGTACCTGATAATTCTTCTAACGAAGATAGAGTCTTCGCCATTGATTAACCCTTTTTGGGGTGCGGCACGCATTCTATTACCCGTTCAGAATCGTAGCGGCTCACTGGTCGCCTACTTAGCGACATACGGGGCCATCCAACGCGCAAATTAGCGCTCTTGTTTTCTCAGACGAATGTAGAACCAATTGACCGTCCCCTGAGGGTAGAAGTCTTGGCTTGGCCTGAGCAGGAGCCGAGCCATCTTTTCACCCCAAGACTGCACGTGTGGTAAGCGTGCCGCTTCCCACTATACCACCTTCGCCTCGATTATTCTGTTACGGTGGCCATAATCGTTGGCGTTTTAAAACTATTTATTGGAAGCGTATGT